GCAAGAAGAGATAAGGTCGCGGCTGGTGGAAAGCGGTGGATGGGCCCAGGGCACGTGTCAAGCAGCGCGGGGGGTTTATCTTTCTCTGTTATCATCCGGTTGATTTCAAACGTTTTCCTTGTGGAAATCGTATAACAAGCACTAAAGACGCGAGCCACCGCCACGTGTAGCGCTCCGGGCTCTCTCATTGGATTTAGTTTTTTTTTATTTTTCCGCATGTGTTTTCAGCTTTTAGATTGTTTTTTTAGCTTTTTTGTTTTCCACCAGTCTTTCTTAGCTTTTGGACCGAAATTTATTTTTGTGTGAAAAAACATGTTTTTTTGTTTGGCACGGATTTCCTTCCGCGAAAGACACGGTTTTGCTTTTGCGAGAGGCACGGATTTACTTCCGTGAGAAGAATGGCCATGCCTCTCAAAAACGAAAAAAAAATCATTTTTTTTCCTTCCGCGAGAGACACGGTTTTGCTTCCGCGAGAGGCAAGGATTTGCTTTCGCGAGAGGCACGACCGTGCCTCTCGAAAACGAAAAGGCGCGTTTCTTTTTCCTTCTGGGAGACGCATGGATTTGTTTTCACAAGATGCAAGCCGTGCCTCTCAAAAATGGGAAAAAATGTGAGAGACACGATTTTGCTTCCACAAGAATTTGCTTTCGCGAGATGTAGGCCTCTCGAAAACGGAAAAGATGTGTTTTTTTCCTTGCACGAGAGGTACGGGTTACTTCCCATGGAAGCATGGATTTGCTTCCGTGATAGTCACAGACGTGCCTCTTTTCGAAATGAAAAAAAATGTGCTTCCTATTAGTATTTTTGTCCATTTTTTCATGAAAATAAAGTTAGTCAAAATGTATCAACTTGAGAACTAATTTTGAAGATCTGGAAGACTCCCTGGTTGGGACATGCAGTACGTCACTTGTCGCAACATGGAAAGATATGAATGATCATTGAAAAGAGTACTCGTCTTTTTTTTAGGGGTGGAAAAGGGTACTAATGATTTCGCCTACATGGTTCGTAGCGTGCCAGGCCTTTATATATGGCCGCACCGGGCCGGGCCACCCATATGGCCAGGTGAGGGCAACTCTGGGATCCATCGATCTGACCCTTCGACGTGTCCCGATCATTATGGCTGGCGAGCCGACTCGCGCCTAGCAGTTGCCTAAGAGCATCTCCAACAGCCGCGCTGAACTAGCGCCGCGCTGCAAATTAGGCCGTTTTAACGCGCGCGCAACGCGGCGGGTCGCTCCAGCGGGCGCGCAAAAACGGCGCGCGCGCTATAACGTGTTGGACGCACGGTTGAAAATACTTACCCGCGCGGCGTATTTTGAGTGCCAGCTATAACGCGCGGCACACTCGAGCGCTCGCGCCGCACTCTCGCCTCTTCTCGTCCTACGCCCCGCGCGCGCCGGCGC